CAGAGACGTATGAAGATGTCATCATTAACCATGAAGAATGAAGCTTTGAAGGTGTTTTTAGCAGCTCTCATTCTCATTCCTGGGTTTTTTCTCCCCCTCTCCTCCCCCTCTCTCCTCCAGTGGGTGTGGTGCGTCCCACCCTGACCGTCCTCCCCCCCTCCAAAGAGGAGCAGCAGCAGAGCAGTGTCACACTGGTGTGTCTGGCCAGCGGGGGCTTCCCTTCAACCTGGAGGCTGGGCTGGAAGGTGGGGGGCAGCAGCAGGTCCTCAGGGGTGTCTAACAGCCTGGAGGTCCTGGGGAGGGACGGCCGCTACAGCTGGAGCAGCACCCTGAGCCTCCCTGCAGACCAGTGGAGGAAGGCGGGCTCAGTGAGCTGTGAGGCCAATCAGAGTGGACAGAGTCCTGTCACTCATACCCTGGACCCTGACCTCTGCCCAGAGTAGAGCTGCATCTTCATGTCTGAACAGATTTCTAAAATCATTGTAAAATGCTCTTTAATAAAACCTGAAGTGAACTAATTGTTTCAATAAAAGTGCAGATTTATAATAATCATTTTCTTTGTGTTTATTTTTGTGTACCGGTACTTGTTGAAATCTCATCTCATGTTGTTTTTAGTCTCCTTTCAAGTTTCCTAAAACCTTGTTGGCAATCCATATTTAAAAAAACAGATTCTCTGTTAGAATTGGGTATAGTATAAATATAACAAATAGTAAAAGCAATAAATTAATAGTTTGAACATTTTTTTTTTTACAGCAGCCTCTGAGATGTGTCATTGACTTAATTCTCATGATCTCTCTAAACCTGCAGCCCACAGTAAGACTGAAAAAGGTCTACATCACTTTGTAAACCCACATTCAATCACTATGGCAACCCAGACATTAATAATCTTCAGCATATTCATCCAGAACACCCCTGATGGTTAAAGTACAGATGCATAACATTTTCAAGGCTGATTTGTATGTTAAGGAACCGAACTGACTTCACTAAAATATATTTTCCCAGTTCAGCGGTCAGTATATTTGATCCTTTTGATTTAGTTCTCCTGTTTTACTGATGATTAACTTAAAAGTGAAAATAAGTGCAGAAAAAACAGAACCAGTGGCTATAGTGAAAATAACCATATAGACTTCATGTGGGACTGGGCAGTGGAGAAGTTTGATGCGCTGATGCCTTGGAGCAAGAAGTTTTTAGGTTCGATTTCAGTCCCGGCTCTTTTTGCATGGAGTTTGTATGTTCTCTCTGTGAATGCATGGGTTCTCTCTGGGTACTCCGGCTTTCTCCTTTTAGGTTAATTGGCATCTTTAAATTTTCCTTTGAGCTGAGTGTGTGTGTGCGCTGTTGTATATCTTTGTGTTACCCTGATGGAATAAGATGGATGGATGGACCTTATGCTTTGGCAGCCGTTTAGTTTATGAAATACATTGAACTATAAACATTTTATCATTTTGTTTACTGATTAACATTTCAAAGTATTTTTTTTTTTCTTTCTAGCCTGTATATTAAGTTTGTTCAAGTGGCTGATAATGATGCTGATGGCTATACTTGGATTATTGATTTAACAATTAACTTTTGTTTTTATTAAAATCTCTAGTGGAGTTTTGTGATAAGCTAAATAAAAGCATGTTTTTAAATACATTTTGAAATCTACAAGCAAACAACAAAATACTCATCTTTAAATGATAAATGTTATCTATCATAATTGACCTTAGTGCTTGGTGAGGTTTCTGTCAGCTCTGTGTTCAGTGGTCTGTATCAGGGTCTCTTCCACCTCAGCAGCTGCAGTCAGTTTCTGCTCTAACAGCTCAGTGTGTCTGCAGTCTGACTGAGGGAGGTTTTTGTACGGCTAAAAATCTCTGTGTGAACGCACCCCCATGGTCACCCAGACAGTAATAATCTCCAGCATCTTCAGCCTGAACTCTACTGATGGTTAAAGTGTAATCAGATCCAGATCTACT